ATCTACTCTTTCATTTCTGTGTATGTATCTGTCTCTATCTATTCATCAATCTATCTGTCAGTCTGTTTCTCTCTCTCTTTCTCTATCTATCTATCTATCTATCTATCTATCTCTATCTCTCCATCTCTCTCTCTCTCTCTCTCTCTCTCTCTCTCTCTCTCTCTCTCTCTCTCTCTCTCTATATATATATATAATATATATATATATATATATTATATATATTATATATATTATATATATATATATATATTCCTCCATCTCTATCTGTCTTTCTCTCTCTCCTTCTCATCCTCTCTTCCTCTCTTCTCTCGCTTCATCTCCCTTTCCCTCTCTCTTTTTCCTCGCCTTCTCCCCTCTCCCTCTCTCTTTTCCTCCCTTCCTCTCCCTTTCCCTCCCTTTCTCTATCTTTTTTCTCTCTCTTTCTCCTTCTCTCCACCACTCTCTCTTTTCACCACCACAAGTATTCCCACATTGCATTCCCACCTTCCATTTCCACCATCCACCCCCACCTTCTACTCTCCACCATCCACTCCCACCATCCCCTCCCACCACCCACCTTGCATTCCCACACCTTTCCTCCCCACCTTCCACCACCACCCCTTCTACCCACCCTCACCATCCCCTCCCATCCCCACCTTGCGATCTCACCCCTTTCCTCCCACCATCCACCCCCTTCCATCCACCCCCACCATCCCCACCCACCCCCACCTCGCAATCTCACCCCTTTCCTCCCCCTTTTCCTCCCCACCTTCCACCACCCACCACCCACCCCCACCATCCACTCCCCCACCATCCCCTCCCACCCCCACCTCGCAATCTCACCCCTCTCCTCCCCACACCTTGCAGTGAGGAACGTGTGCTGGTCGGCGGAAGACTGCAACAGCGACGAGTGCTGTGCAAGGCCCATGCTGTCCGCCAATGCCTACTGCATGCCACTCAGAACACGAGGTCAAGTGTGTGACGCCTCCCCTCTCATGCTCAGCATTACCTCCGGGGTGAGTTTTTTTTTGTGAGGGCGTCTTGTGAGGCGTGAGGTGGGCGTGCGAAGGAGAGGGTGTGTGAGGGTGTGAGGTGGGCGTGCGAAGGAGAGGGTGTGTGAGGGTGTGAGGTGAGGGCGTGCGAAGGAGAGGGTGTGTGAGGGTGTGAGGAGAGGGTGTGAGCGTGAGTGTAAGTGTGAGTGTAAGAGTATGTGTGTGTGTGTGACAGAGAGAGAGAGAGAGAGAGAGAGAGAGAGAGAGAGAGAGAGAGAGAGAGAGAGAGAGAGAGAGAGAAAGAAAGATAAATAGATAGATTAATAGACAGAGAGAGCGAGATTGTGTGTGTGTGTGATAAATTGAGAGATAGGTAGATAGATCGATAGACAGAGAGAGAGAGAGGGAAAGTGTGTGTGTGATAGATAGATAGATTAATAGACAGAGAGAGAGAGAGAAAGAGAGAGTGTGTGTGTGATGGATAGATAGATAGGTAGATAGGTTGATAAATAGACAGATTGATAGACTCTGTGCGCATTCAAGTGTGCTTTTGTTTCCGTGACGTCAGAGTTACATCGCTGACGTCATAGATGCCAATGACGTCATGATAGGGGAATCCTTGGGTTGGGTAAATACAGGATCGACTTATGTATACTTTTAGCATAGTTTATTCAGAAAGATAGACGGATGAATAGATAGATATATTCATTGTGTTGTTGATGTTGGTCATTTTTTAACAGCTGATCAAACCATATTAAATTACTTAATCATTTCTCTGGATTCGATCATTTCTTTCCATTCGGCCATCTTGACAGACTGACAAACTTCAGTCTTTCCTTCCCACTCACTAAAACCATCACCCTCTCCATCCCACTCACTGACAACACTCACTCTCTCTATCTCACTTTATCCCACTCAATAAAAACACCACCCTTTCCTTACCACTCACTGACAATACTCACCCTCTTCATCCCACTCCACTCACAGACAACAATCACCCTCTCCCTCCCACTCAATAAAAACACCATCCTCTATTTCCCACTCCACCCAACTCACTGACAACACTCATCATCTCTTTCCCACTCGCCACTCAATGACAACAATCATCCTCTCCTTCCTACTCCATTCCACTCACTGACAACGATCATTCTCTCAATCCCACGCCACCCCACTCATTAACAAACACCAACCTCTACATCTCCCCCCACTCCACTCACTCAAAGACTCCGCCCTCACCACCCCACTCGACCTCACTCCACCCCACTCACCCAAAGACTCCACCTTCAACACCCCACTCGACCTCACTCCACTCCACTCACCCAAAAACTCCACCTTCACCACCCCACTCGACCTCACTCCACCCCACTCACCCAAAAACTCCACCCTCACCACCCCACTCGACCCCACTCACTCAAAAAACACCCCCTCCTCCCTTCAGGTCTACTTCAGCGACTGCCCCTGCCACGAGAGTCTCACCTGCGCCGCCCTGAGTAATAACTCGAAGTCCCAGTGTGTCGACCTCAGAAGCC